ATAGATAGATAGATATAGATAGATCTAGATAGATCTAGATAGATATAGATAGATAGACACACACACACACTTGTCCAATACAATTGTTATTAGTACATATACATTTCTAGCACATCATATAACTATCATGGTTTTTTTTTAAACGTACTCTATTCTGTAAAAGTATACTTAAAGGTATGGCCCAAAAAAAAGTGCTAAACCAAATAAGGGATTCACAATTGAGGCAACTAAGAAGTTCTCAATTTCACCAATTCAATATATTTAGGGGTAGCTTGGAGGGAAGGTTATTTAAATATTGAGGGTTGGGTTAATATAATGCTAGCTAAAATATGGGTTACTTTGCATGGAAAGTGGATGCTGTCTCTTTAAACATGAAAACAGGGTTGTCCACCTTGGCAACTTTAAAAGTTGTGGACTTCAACTCTCAGAATTGCCCAGCCAGCATAGATGGCTTGGCAATTCTGGGAATTGAAGTCCACAAGTCTTAAAGTTGCCAAGGTTGGAACGACCCTGCATTAAAACATTGAGAAGGGCCAAAGTTGTACATCAAGCCAAATAGTTGCTGTTTGCCAGGTTTTTCTTGTTGCCTCAACACTTCCTGTTCAGCTTGACCTTGGCTTGCTAAGATATCTCTAGAGGCCCCTGGTGAGATTTTTCAGAGAGGTCCGCTACTTATTTGTGCTGGAGATACAACCTCCTCAACTTCTGAGCTTTGACTCTACAAGGACAAGAGAAGGAGGTTTGGATGGACCACAGCTAGTCTTAGAAATAGAGGAGATTTTGAGGAGAAGTTGAGGAAAGTAGAATCTTTCAATATTGGAAAGGATCCCTGAGAGGTGCTGCTTGTTCGTGGATTATTGATTGACTGTATTCCCATCTCCAAGATGCAAAGGCCTCTTTCCTATATGGTATGCTTCTCCTTTTATTGAAGATGTATAAGATTAGCATTATAATTGTACTTTACGGCCCTTTCTAAGCAGTTTATTCAGTCAGTATATTCCCCCCAGGAATCTGGGCCCTCTTTTTACCGACCTTGGAAGGATGGAAGCCTGAGTCAACCTTGACTCCTATCAGGATCGAACTGGCTGTGGGCAGAGTTAGCTTGCAGTACTACATTCTAACCACTGCGCCACCACGGCTCCGTTGTATGGAGTACAAGTGGGGTTGGTCCTAGTCAGATTGTAGATATGCAATGTGGAGATATATGATGGAGTCCAAGATGCCATATGTAAGTCAAGTGTCAGTGAGTTAAGCATTAAGCGGATCTGATTTTATTGCTTATATTGGTTGGGTTGAGCTTGCTTTCACTGCGTCCCCGTCTTTTCTTACCTGGCAGCCTGTCGCCCACTTCTGGTGTCAATCCTTTAGCCCGGGGCCACATACCAGCCAGCCCAAGAATGGAGAAAGGAAGCCCAGGTGTCACCAGGAGTACTTGGAGCAACTCTCTACCCAAGAACGGTATGGCTCAGGGTTTATATCAGGGGTCTCCAACCTTGGCAACTTTAAGCCTGGAGGACTTCAACTCCCAGAATTCCCCAGCCAGC